CAAGTAAATTCTCCAGAATCATCCATCATGGTAGGTGAAATTGTCAAAGTTCCTTCCGTGTCCAATGAATAACGGTCGGGAAAATTGTGATTTTTATGCGAAAGACGTACGCCATCTTTTTTCCAAACCACATTGGATGTATTTTCTTTAGTACAACAAGGAAAACGTGCAATCTCACCTTCAATTGTAGTTTGATTTATTGGAGGAATTGCAATTACATTTCCGCCTTCCAAAATTAATCATTTATGTAAAATGGTTGAACAGCTTTTATTAAAACATAAATATTGTAAAATTAACAGTTAATGCTTACACAAAAAAAAAAAAAAAAGTAATAATAATCTTTAATAAGCGTAGAAAAAGTAAATTTTTATGAAAACATTGATATAAATCTTAATGAAAGAAAAAAATTGTAATTTAAAATCAACGGTTATCCTCATTGTTTAATAAAAGTTTTGATGTTTTGAAACATTTCATGTTTTTTTAAAAACAAATTTACTGTCAAAAGTAAAAGTTTTTTGATATTTTATTGTTTGTGAAGTATAAAAAAATTTCAATATGGCGACTGATAGATTTAGCTTTTAAATTAACAATGAGTAATTTAAAATAAATAAAAAAAATAAAAAAAAATTGACGGTATTTGTCACACAGGGAGTCATTCAGGGGAGTGGACATTCAAAATAACAATGGGAAAAAAAAAAAATTTAATTACAAACGCCTTTTTATTAAGGTCAAACACTGTGGGAAAATAAAGTTTTTTATATAGTTATTTAATCCCTTTTATAAAATAATAATTAATTTTCATTACCTTCAACTTTTAAATGAAACCAAGTACCATTTTGATGAGTTATTGGACTTCTGTTGGGAAATAATATTTGACATTCATACCAACCCCCATCAGTTTCTCTTATGTTTGTTAAATTTATGGAACCTTTACCATAATCTGAATCAGATTCTATAAGTTTAATCCTTCCTTTATAGGATCCTTTAGCAGTAGCTTTAGATTCATACAAAGAAAATATTGTTTGACCCTGTTTTACAGAAGAAGAAGAAAGAAACCTTTTTTTTATACTTTTTTTTTGAACTTAAATAAAATAATAGAATTAAAATCGAACCTCTTTATTCCAATTTAAAATATAAGGTATAGGTACGTCGTGTGGATATTCAATATGACAATTAAATATAACAGCTTCACCAACAGCTGCTTTATAATAAGATGGTTTTTTTTCATCATCTGCAAAAGCTGCAAAACCTAATTTTGACAATAAAAAATTTATAAATTTACATGACAATATTTTTATTTTTTATTTTAAATATAACATAATTATTTACCCGGCACGATAATAATAAAAATTACATAAAATCTTCTCATATCCATTTTATAATTAATAATAATAAAATTCCATAATTAATTTTTGCATGTTTATTATAAGGTTTCAGAAACAGGCTTTTATGGCTGTTGTTGTTGTTTTTTTTTTTTTTTTTTTTTTTAAATTTGTGTAAATCACATAATAATCCAGAAGTTATAAATTTATCAGACTGTTTAATTTTTCTGTAATAAAAATTTAATAATTTTTTATGTTTTGATAATTTATAACAAAACTTAAATTCATAAAAATAAAAATGGATTAAATGTTTTGACAATAATTCTGTCAGAGCACAACCACATTATTTAATGTATGTAATATATTTAGATATTAAATAGAATTTGAAAAAAAAAAAAAAAAATTGGCAAGAAAATTTTTGGCTTAACAAAAAAAATTAAAATTTTTAAATGCAATTGTTAAACAAAAAAAAATAAAATAAAATAAAATGAAGTCAAATATAAAAATGCATGCAATGTAAAAAAATAACGAATAATTATCATATAATTTCGTTGTGTGACAATTTAAATTAAAAAAAAAAGGTAAGTTAATTTTAATAATTGACCTTTTTTTAACCTTATTTATTAAAAGGTTAATTTTAAATTATCAAAATATTGAAATAAAATAAAAATTTTTAATTACCAATCCAACACATTTTTATAA